GGAGAGAAAGGTCTGTAAAGGTTGTCTCCTGAGCATGTCAAAAGGAGAGAAACTGTAAAAGGGCAGTTTGGCCTTCGCCTATTGAAGGAAGGCCCCTAGTTGACGTCGGCGACCTCGTCGGTGGAGAAAGCTAAAAGTGGAGTAGGTCAAGGCTGACCGAACCACTCTAAATCTCTGGTTTGCGTTTATTTTTGAGCACTTTATCATTACTGCAAACCTCCTTCATTACTACTGCTCTCTGCGCTTTCACGAACAAGTTCTAAGTGCTGTTCTTCCAAATCTGCATTCAGACGTAAATTCGTATTTTCGTACATTACAGTTTACGTTTACGTTTGATTCTGCAGAACTGTCTTCCGTGCTTTTACGAACGAGTTTCTTTGCAGTTTACACTTACATTTTGATCCTATTGATAACTGCAAACTGTCCTCTACAATTTTACGAACGAGTTTCAACATTTAGACGTAAAACTGCATTTAGACGTAAATCGGCTTTCCTCGCACAATCATCAGATCTCAATTCACGTTTACGTCTTGATTTCAACTGCATACTGCCTTCTGCGAGTATACAAACGAGTTTCAAAGTTCAGACGTAAATCTGCGTTTAAGACATAAATCTGCGTTTAGACGTAAATCTGCGTCTAGACGTAAATCTGTTTTTTTGCAAATTACTTTTTGAGCTGTACAACAGCAGCACATTGTCTTTATACTTCTGCTTAAACTGCTCCTAGACGCAAACTGTGTTTAGACGGAATCTGCGCTTAGACGCAATCTGCGTTTAGACGCAATATGCGCTTAGACGCAATCTGCGCTAAGACGCAAACTGCGCTTAGACGCAATCTGAGTTTAGACGCAATCTGCATTTAGACGCAAACTGCGTTTAGATGCTAACTGTGTTTAAACGTAAACTGCACTTAATCATAAGTAATCTTAGAATCGGCTTTTGCATCAAAATAGTCTTTATCGAACGAACGCAGCTTTCGTTTTTTAATCGCTGAAAAATATCCGCTGCACTAATTCAACCCCCCCCCTCTTAGTGCTCTCGATCCTAACACCTTTAACAAAGGTGGTTGGATTTTGGTAAGTTTTCTTAAGTAGCAAGTTTTCCTTTTGAAGTAATTCTAGTTCATCACATTTCGTACATGAAGCTAAACTATCATTGTGCTCAACTTTTAATCTATCATAATCACTAACAAGATAATCATACTTATTTTTTAACAATTTATATTTTTTACTAATTGACTTGCATTCATAAAATAAATCATGAAAAGCATTTAAAAGTTCATCAAATGATAAATTTGCATCAAATGAACTTGTTACCTCATATCCAATGGCCATTAGTGTATAGTGAGCAACTTGCTCGATGTTGGTTGGCTCCTCTTCTTTGGATGAACTTGAGTCATCCTATGTTGCTTTAAGAGCCTTCTTCTTCTTTGGTTGTCTCTTTTTTGATTGGGGATATTCACTCTTGTAATGTCTTGGCTTCTTGCATTCATAACATATCACTTGTTCTTTCTTAGGTTCAATTTTATTTTTAGTATCATTTTTAAATTTATTTTTTTTTATAAATTTTTTAAACCTTTTTGTTAATAGTGCCAAGTCTTCATCAAAATCCTCGTCACTTGAATTTTCTTTCAAGTGGTCTTCTTGAGTTCTTAGAGCCATATCCTTCCTATTCTTTGGAAGGTTGTTCTCTAGCTCTTTATGAGTATTACAAGTCATTTCATAGGTCATTAGTGACCTGAATATTTCTTCAAGAGGAAAGTTATTTAAATCTTTGGCCTCTTGAATGACCGTGACTTTAGGGTCCCAACTCTTTGAAAGGGATCTTAAAATTTTATTAACAAGCTAAAAATCTGAGAAACTTTTACCAAGTCATTTTAGACCATTGACGATATTTATAAATCAAGTGTATATATCTCCAATGGTTTCACTCGATTTCATTCGAAACAACTCATAAGTATGCACTAAAAGATTAATTTTTGACTCCTTTACTCTACTAGTACCTTCATGAGTCACTTCGAGTATGTGCCAAATATCAAATGTCGTTTCACAAATAGACACATGAGTCACTTCGAGTGTGTGCCTTTGCGTTTAAAGCGAAAGTCTTCTTCTCCAATTCATTCCAATCGTTCATCGGAAGATAAGACTTTTGAAATTCATTTTCTATAATATTTTAAAACTGATTCCGATGAAAATGACTTCCATTCAATCAATTTCGGAGAGAAGTTGAACTTGAAAGCTTTCGTAAAAGTGCAAGAGAAGATTAAGGAGATTTGCAATAATGTAAATTGTACAAATGAAAAACAAACCAGAATTTAGAGTTGTTCGGTCAATGTGACCTACATCCACTTTCGGATTCCTCCTTCGACGAGGTCACCGGCGTCCACTAAAGGCCTTTCTTCAATGGGTGAAGACCGAATACCTCTTTACAGTGCTTTCTCATTTTCCTGGGTTTAGGAGTTAACCCTTACAAGTCTCACTCCTCTTTCTTGAATGGTTACAAGGCTAAGAGACAAATGAGGAGAACTCTAACTTTTACAACACTTTTATGACTCAAGAATTCAAGATTAAGCCAATACTTTCGTGTCATTTCATGCAGAAAATGATGGGGTTTTTATAGACCCCAATGGCTTCAAAATTGGAGCCAAAAAGTGTCACATCTCTGGAATTCGGGGTACTGGCGGTACCACCGCTGTTGATCTGATACTAAGCAGAACCACCGTCGTTGATCTGATATTGGGCAGTACCACCGCTTGATAGGGGCGGTACCACCGCCTGATAGGGCCGGTACCACCGCTGGCAGCATTCACTGCTGGCGGTACCACTACCCAGATATCCTGGGGGGCACTGCTTTCCAAGCGGTGCCATTGTTGGCCAAGAATTCAGGGGCTGAATTGGTTGATCAATTTGGCCTAATTCAGTCCTGTTAAGGGCCCAATTGGCCCTTAATTAAGTTAGTGGGATTGTCTCCAAATCCTAACTTAATTTATGCTCTACCTATGATAATTAAGACATAATTACAGTGCTTCTTGTTCTAGTGCATTAATTGCTCTTCCGACGAGCTTCCGGCGTACTTCCGGCGAACATCCGATGAACTCTCGACAATGTTCCGGCGGACTCTCGGCAAGCTCCTGGACTTTATGACGATCTTCTTGGCGAGTTCCGATGAGCTTCTTTAGCAAGCTCTTGGACTTCTCGGTTGGTTCCGGTAGAACTTCCGACAAACTCTCGAACTCTCAATGAGATCTCGATCTTGACTCCGGCACAACACCTGCTTTATGTTTTACTGCTATCATAGTTAATCCTGCATACTTTTCTCAACATATAGATTAGATCAAATAAATTACAATCGACTTCATCATCAAAATCCAAGATTCTAACATATATCAATTATTATTTTAATTATCTAATTTTCATCCTTATAAATCGAAGTTAATACACTACCAAGGATTCAAATGATCTAACCGAGATTATTTGATCTAATATGATAATCGACCTTTTAAATTTTTATACTGCACTGTGATTCCCATAAGACACTTTATATGCTCCACGTGTCAATGGCTATTGAAGAACATTTTTATGTTCCGTGATCATTAATGACAAAAAAATATTTATCAACTAGTCATAAATTGAGGTTTTAAAGTTCTTTCTCTATTTAACCATTTAGAGGTTAAATAATGAGTTTATTGGCTTTGTCAATTTGCTAAACGAGATAATCGCGCCAGAGACATTGATAGTTCTCATGAAATAATTAAGTGTTTTTTGGACATATTATAGTTGTTTCTGTTAATGGACAAGTCAATAGAGTTGTACTTTGCTACATGTGTTAAGATTTACTTCAAATTTTGATTATGTGGCTTGTTGTACATAGAATATTAGAATTTACATTAGTATAAGTTATTTGTTTCATAGCATAAAATTATTATTATTATTTTTTACTTTATAGTTTTTCGTATTGCTCTTATTAACAATGTTCCTATTATAATTCTGTAGTCTCTTTGAGTGTATATAGACCTTAAAATTCATAAGAATGAAAAAATTAATAATATAATCATCAAGTTAATAAAGTCCATCATTTCAAGTGTCATGTTAATAAACTTTGACACTATGGATGTCGCCATCGTCGATGACAAATTTCACATGAGCCACGAGAGGCTGTGGCTCGACTCCTACCCTACTGTCGAACAGGCCTACTATGGGTGTGGTTCGTAGTAATTATTTTACCTTTGTAATATTAAGATAAATAAAATTAAATATTTTACTTTTGTAAATACATGCATTTTAATATATATATTTTAAATATATCTAACGATCTATATTTGTCCTCCCGGTGAAACGAACCACTAGTCCACCTCCCTCATCAGCGATCCACTAGATATTTTTTAAATATATCTAACGATCTATATTTGTCCTCCTAGTGAAGCGATCCACAAGTCCACCTCCCTTATCGACTTACTATGTCGACCTACTCTGGGCGTGATTCACAGTACTTGTTGTCGCCCTCGACCTCAGGCACATCAAGGTCATCGCTCCCAAACAACACTGTTGCAATCCCCAAAGCTCCGCTGCCAACAACGTGACGCCAAAGGGGTGGTTCACGATGTAGACGACACCGACGATATCGACAACAAAACGATGGAAGCAGTGGGCTTGTGAAGGTGAAGAAAAAACATGAGGCGATAGAGCCGATTTCCAAGACTTGATGGCATCAAACGAAAGCATGGTCAGATTGTGGAACGAGGAGTTGCGATTACGACGCCGCCGCCACGAAACCTGTTCACCGCCATCATCCTTCCACTTGCAGAAGTCATTCTTCTAATTATTATTCTGGCTATTGCAGCACAAAATAACTTTACAACAAGATATGTATGCATGTGATTAGCAAATACATTATATTCCATATAAATAACCATTAGAAAAAAGAAACTTGTATTCGCTGAATTCAATATTCTTAAAAGACAATAATTCACAATATAAACTTAATGACCACAAAAAACAAGATAAGAAAGAAGGATCTGCGTCAAATTTGTTGAAACGTTTCAAGATAAATTGGCAAAATATAACAATGGCTGGCCAAACGATAAATAAAAAAAAGCAAGAGAGAGGCACTGAAAGTGATGCCTAAACAAAAATTAAATTCTCATATGTGGAACTACTCGTCACATTCATTTTACTCCCAGCCCGTGGGAGCAGCAGCAGGTGGAACGCCTGGAGCAACAGCACCAGCTTCCACAGGTGGAGCAGCAGCCACATCCCATCCCTCCGCACCCACAGGAACTGCTGATAGGAAAGACATAAATATGTTGGATCCAATCCTTGGAGCACATGGAATTGGACAAGGTACGTCTATGTCTAATGGATCAAAATGTACTTGTTCAAACCATCATTACAGCTAAGATTTAGTCCCGTGCAAGTATATAATTCGCAAAATTGTGCTCTTAAAAATTGATGTTAGTTCTGATATTGAAACTATCCTATATTGGACATAATTGCAAGAATTATAACGACGAACTTTCTGTGCCATCCAACTACAAGAAATCAATCCAATTTAAGAGCTCTGTGTTCCACAGGTTAACAAGTCGAGATTTAATCACCATAAAAAATGTGATGACAAGGAGACAAATACTAACCTCGGAGTAAGAAGGCTATTAATAAAAAATATATAACTGGTTGAATCATAATATAATCATATCTAGAGCAGTGTCTGTCGTACCGAGCCGTACCGCCCGGTACGGGCGATACATACCGGTCCGATAGGTTGTCGGTACACGGACCGCCCGATACCGGTCCGCACTGTAGCAGTGCTACAGTGCTCGGTACACCTGAGTGTACCGCTCGATACACCGTACCGTACCAGTACCGAGCCCAGGTCGAAATACCGGTACGGTACGGTATTGCGAACCTTGATCTATAGGTTGTAAAATCACATGACCTTCATTCTCTTTCTTCACATTTTCATATGTCAACAACAACGATTTTTCAGTAAACCAAGCAGGGTAAACCAAATTTATTTCTATTTATTGCAGAAAACTTGAGATGTGGATATTTGTCCAACATGTTGATCGGATCCTGGAATTCCTATACCCTTATTCAACTGATGGTTAATGGTAGATCATTACACATAAAAGGTGATGAGAGAGGACATTAGAAAACAAAATTGGAAATGTCCAAAGTATCATTTGCCAATGACTTGTTAGAGGGAGTAGATGAAACTGGGTCAGTGACACTAACCTAGAGATTTGATCAGAGCATACCAGAGGCAAATAAAAACTATATTGTACAGATCATTATATGGAGAGTGGTGGTGCTTTGAAAAAGGATACATATCGACATGTGGTCAGCGAGACTAACCTTGACCAGCAGTCGACTCAACCCCGGTAACTGGAGGCTCTACAGAAGATACAGCTCCACCATCGGGCATCCACTGTTCAGTAGTCCATTGATCATTTGGTACCATTGCACCATAATCAGGTGCAACTGGAGCCTCTTCTTCCTCCTGCTCCTTGGCCTCCTCAGGATCTCTATAGAAAAACAGATCAACCTGCAGTAACATTGCTTGGTTAGAAAATAAAGGTAATTAAAGAATACTTCAAAAAAGACCTGATGATGAATCTTCCTCAACTTTGCAGACAGAGAAAAGATCAATGATCTAACTTTTAAAGATAAACTATGTTGTTTCTCAATGAGAGAGAGAACAAAGATGAAAAATTATCACATTAGTTTGATGAACCATCCGTGTTTGATGGATTGGAATCCACAGGAACCCATCAGCAGATATTTAAAGCTTACACCCAAAGGCACGTAGAATTTTGAAGGAAATTACTTGCAAGTTCACGAGATTTGTGCTTTGGCACACCTGCTGTGCAATTAAGAGGATACAAATAAACTCTTTGTAGAAGTTGTCATTAAGATTTCTTTAACCCTAAGCAAAGGTGCATCCATCGACACATAGCTTGCTATGAACCAAAAACAATAACTGGAAAGTGAACAGTCTATGTAAACTTACCATTACTTCCCATTTACGCCCGAGAGGAATGGTGCCACGCATTTGCAGCACCATCCTTGCCAACAACCAAAAGAGGCAGCCAATGCTGAGCTTTCCTTTATTGTTTGCAGGAATTCCGATATCAACATATCGCATTGAAGAGTCAGTGTCACAGAAGGCAATTGTTGGAATGTTACCAAGAGCAGACTCCTTGATTGGCTGTTGGTAAATGGATTGGACATTCTTTAACAAACCTATCCATCCAAATACAAAATTTCTATTTTGTATACTGATTTTCTTACCTGGTGGTCAGTTCTAGGATCAGTAAGGATCAAAAGACGAGGCTCACTAAAGGATGTCTGAAGCTGATTGGTAAAGGTTCCAGGTGTATGCCTTCCTGCAATAGGAGAAGCACCAGTGTACTGTGCAAACTTCAAAACAGCTCTCTGGCCATATGGTCGTGCAGATTGGACAATAATATCCTGAGGGTTCTCAATGGCAACTATGACCCTAGCTGCTAGTCGAAGCTTCTCCCAAGTTTTACCAAGGTTGATGATATGTACACCTGAACAGTTAAATAAATGCATTTTTGAGAAACCGGCAGGTAAGGATTGATGGGTTCCATGAAAGATAAGTTGCTACACCGAAAATTAAAACAAAAAAAAAACAATAATTGGGATGCAAAAAAACAAATACTAGGAAACAGAAATGTATGTGTTTAAATGTTTCAGATTACTAACAATGGGAACATCATATATGTTTTTGAAACAAACTGATCATATACAAACAATCAAGTGATGGTACACAGATGAAATCTAATGTCCATCAAACTATAGTCATCTCTAAGATTCGAATGCCTTTAAGTACGTTCATTAATTAGTTTTGATTAGTTTTAGTGCTTAATCAGGTTGATTCTTGCTTCAGTTAATTCACAATTACTGCAAATCAAAATCAGTTATGTTGCGAAGTATTAAAATTGGTAGTAATAGAATAGGATTACTGATTTGTGGATGTATGCTTCAAATTCTGTACATTTACACAGTGCTTACCAGCATTACATTCGTAAGTGGCAAATGACTACAGAAAAGATCAAATATTCTCTGATAATTCGACTAATGAAAACCATATCATTAACTTAAATGCAAGGCATCACAGTCAGCTGGACAAGATACTTGGTTCAAACCCCTGAACGTTTGTTCCAGTCAAATGGTAATTATGATTTTTCTAAGCTCTTGATAGTAGAAGATGCTGAATAATCAGTATGTTTTGGCTTCTACAACTATACCCCACTGAGAACAATCAGACTATTGGGTTTTGATGTCCAATGTCATCCAATAACAATTACAATGATACGACATTCTTAAGTAGAACAAACTGGTAAACCATACTGACAAAAAGAACCACTGGTGTTAACGGTAGAGAAGGCTCTAAAGCCTGCTGTGCACTTTTGTTTCATTAAGTTATTTTGATAAAACATATCAAGGTCCATGTCTACTAGTCACTTTTTTGCATTGCTTATGACTCCTATGCCATTCACATCAGTTAGGAAAAATAATCGGATCTTATATGTGATTCTTAGCTCACAGTGTCACTCTTGTTCCCTTTTTTCTCTTTTTCCCCTTCAACCAGCACTTTCATTAATGATAGCTCGGCGAGGAATATTTTGTGTACGCAAAATCTTAGTGACATCTACATGAGGGACGGTCACAATTTCTAGCAAAACCCAGCACACAGCTCATGGACGACTTCAGCTACATCATAAGCCTACTTCCGTCCCTAAACGATAAAAACTCCGACTTTGATATGCCACACCAAAGTCTCATACCCGACCAAGGAAAACTCTTTTATCTTCCGAACACGGTCGACGACAGTCACAAGCTTCTACAGCGGTCAATGGCCATCGTTCCGAAACAAAGCATACAAAATCACCACTCCTATGAACAAAAAACGATTTCTTCCCTGGAGTTCGTTGCCACTAACATGCCATATCGAGATCGCAAACAAAACAACAAGCCCTCGTGGAGATCTACTACTCGTAGCTCTCCTCACGACCAAAAAGCAGAAAATTTGAGCCGGACTCGACAGCATGATGGTACGGAAGCAAGCACGGATCAGGCAGCAGGAGAAACAAAGAAGTTAAAAGGAAGGGGTTGGGGGGGTGGGCACCATCGGATCTCCGCTTGTAGACGTAGCGCTCCATCTGGAAGTCGCAGTTCCTGGCGCCGAGATGGACGGCGGCGGAAAGCATCATCTGTATGTCCTCCTCCTTCTGCGAAAGCACCCGGGTCGCCATGGCCTCGTTCGCGCGCCCTCGCTCTCCCACCCCCGGAAACCCTGAAGCTTGAATCTCGCGAGTGGCGACGGCTGGGAAAAGGAATAGAGGCGAAGCGACGCGGGTTATCTCTCGGTACACAACCCGAACGGCCGGGTTTCTCCAGCTGGTTCGCACCGAACCGTTTCAGGTGGAGCATTGAGACCTGATATGCACATGGGCCGAGCCGGAGGCCACAAGGTTACAGGCCTTGGGCCATGGACTACAGCCCATGACGTGGCATTACGCGTGTGCTGAGAGGGAACGTCGTACCAAACAAACCCCAATGCACACTTGATTAACTAAGTTAGTGAGGTAACCAAAAGTATATAGTTTCTTATTAAGCTCATTAAAAGTATACCATGATAACCCCTGTTAAGATGTATTGAATTCTTTGAGATCATTTGTTAAGCATCAACTCATATCATCCTTTTGGTGAAAGAAATTTTAACTACCCAAAGCACTGCAGGTGTCTTTTGAAGATTAAACACACCAAGCACAATCCAATCTGAACGACTGACAGAGCAAACCTACCTTTAGATTTGTGTTCAACATCACTCAGAAAAGTGATCGAGGTGGTTTAGGCTTATTCATCTAGTTGTAGAAGAAAACGGTTCTCGTGCTGTCGAATGTGATGTGAAGTCTAGTGTAAAACTAGATGCAAACCTTTCCACTTATTTAAAGGATTGACATTGCAGATAAAAAGAAAAGCAAAATACAGATAAATTCAACCTCAGAAGCCTCCAAGAAATCAGTATTGGATGGTGAAAAGAAGGTGAATTGAATACCAAGACAGACCTGAATAAAGTCAAGAAGAGAGAAACTTAAACGTGTCTTGGATGACTTGGTCTCTTCCTGTAAAGTATTATGAAGCAACACTAACTCAAAAATTAATGGGTCAATTAACTGGAGCACAAAGCAATCCAACATATCAAACCATTCCGGAAACCACTTACAAAAAATTGCTACCCACCATTTTGCCTCCTGGTTTTGGAAAATATCATTCATCGAGTCATGTCATGTTCTCCTTGAACAAAAGCTAGCATGTTGCCTGAAGGACATATATCCAGAAACAACAAGACCATTACAGGCTAATTGAACACAAAAACAGAACTGGAATATCCACCTACAACACTATTTCGGTTTAGAATTTCCATCAACAAAGCAAGAACAAAAGATAGTGATCATTGTCAACCACTAACTGAATTTAGTCAACGATCATTGTTGATGATACATGATATATTTGCATCTGTGCAACAACGACTAAAGGTCATCCTTTTGGCTTCACATCAGTTCCAATATTGAGAAAGCAACGAAAATAAAGCACACGAGGGAACCAGGTTCAGCAGCATGTCTTAAACCATTAGCTTACATCATATACAGAAACAGTCAACACTGGTAAACTCGAGAGTCCACAAAGCAGCAACAAAAAGCTGTTGTTCCTGAAGATTATGCTGCAAACCAAACACACTTTGATTCATGATGGCATTCAAACAATTCTGACCCTCCATAAGCTTCTCTAATTGGTTCATGAGATAGGAAACTAAATCTAAGGGAAAGAACCAATTTGTTCTCCGAACAAGGAGATACTTGCAAGCCAACATGGCCAAAGAAAACGTGTGTCACCTTTGGAATGCTTATTTTTTCTCCCTATTTACAGAACACCGGTAGCGACAGCCGAAGTCTCTCAGTAGACACTGCCCTCCATGGGCAGGTCATCGAAGCTCCATAGGTTGACAGTACTGAAATCATCCTGAGCCAGTTCACCACCAAACAGGCAATCGAGCGACACATTGGAACTCCCCTCAGTGTAAGGAAACTGCAGAAAATTCATGTACGAGTCGAAAGCATATAAGTTCTTAGACAATTTGATTGCCGTTGTCTCTTCCGCAGAGGATTCCGCTCCACAACCATTTTTCAAATTCTCCTGATGACCATCATCTCCCAGCAACCCAGTACCATTTCCTTCAATAGCAGTGGGAACATCAACTAACTTGATCTCAGGGGTTTTGTCCTCATGTTCCCATATGAATTCTGGATGACCAAAGGAGTCACTTTCCTCAGCACCTTCCTCAGCAGAATGGAAATCCAGGCCTTCACAAGGTGCAGAAGGTCCTTCACTTGCAAAGGGGTAAAAGTAGTCAGGCTTGGTCAGTTCCTCCTCCAAGAGGCCCATAGCAGAATAGAAAACACAATCTTGGTCATTCGGATGGTCGGAATGCTTGCACTCAAGCTTTTCTGACATGTTTGATGTGTGAGTTCTTGGAGCAGTAGGTTTCAGTATGCTTTTTTTAGCACCTGATTTTGATCCTGCAGGGAAGTTCACTTTGGCTTTATGGCCACGAATCCTACGAGCTTCAGCATCATAAGCTCTTGCAGCCTGTTCAGCAGAGTCGAATGTCCCGAGCCAAACACGAACCCCTTTACAGGGATCTCTGATTTCAGCTGCCCATCTGCCCCACGGGCGCTGGCGGATTCCACGGAATTGACTCTTTCTCTTCCTTTTGCCTGACTTGCATGCAGGTCCACCAAAACCTCTTGATCTTAGAGTGACTGAGATCTCTGCAATACAAAGTAGAACAAGAGGTAAGCCTAAACGTTTTCACACTCCCAAAATCCATACAAAAAGAGAAGGTAAGGGATTTGGAAGCAACTGGTCACTGCTCAAAGCACACACATTAAAACTCATCAATCAGAAGTTTATCAAATTAGTGAATCGAAGTGACTATGAAGTAAACTTTTCTGTTTTACTTTCGTATCAGATTGTAAAACCTAACGCATTATGAGGTGCCTGTACAAAATCATATAAATATTCCTGTTGATCCAAGCAACTGCAGGTGAAATTCCAGTCAAATTTTGGTTCTCAAATTCAAGATGCTTGTTTCTTGGACCAAACCAAAATTCAACTTCAAAATCTTGAAATCAACATCAATTTGTATCTTAATCACTTCTTCAAATAACAATTATCCCAAAACTATGTTTGGATCCACAGCCACAATCGGTTACTAATATAATTTCAACACTTCATGTTATTCTGCTGCCTGTGAACAATCAAGATCTACCTAGAAAATAATGGAATTTTGAACAATAAGATTTTCTGACGGAAAGATCTGACTTAGAAATTAAAGGATGAAAGAAGAATCAAGCAAAAGACAAACAACAGATTTCATTGGAACTAGTAAACAGTTGGCAAAAAAAAACTCTAAAACTAAAACTAAGCAGAAAAAGTTATCTGGGTGAGAAAAGAAATCCCATTTCTAGTGTCAAAGCTTAAGTACCAAAAAAGAACAAAAGAAAGAGCTGTTATAAACTTATTTCTTGGTAATCCATAGAAGGAAAGCTGATTTAGGGAAGAGGATCTGCTATTCTGAAGGGGGAAAAAAGTAACCTTTGAAGTAAAAAAAAAAAAAAAACTAATTTCTTGTAATTACCTCGAGAAAAGGAGGTATTCGATCCGAAACCAGAGGAATTGGCATCGACCTCATCATCGAACTCGTCCTCGAACTCGTCCTCCCCCGACTCATCATCGAACTCCAGGAAGTCAGCCTCGAAGTCCTCTTCGACCTCCCTTCTCTGCTGCTTCCCCCTCCTCCTCCTCCCGCCCGGCCACAGGTGCTCCGCCGTCACCCGCCGCGCCACCGTGGCCGGTATGAGGTCGGAGATGATCGCTCCTCCACACATCTCTCCACAACCGCTTCAAGACTCCTACTTTATGGGTTCTTTTCGACTCAAGGTGAAGTCTCCCTCTTGGAGAAAGACGTGGGGAGGCGGGGGGGCATTTATACCCAACGGGGTTGGGTTGGAAAGATCGGATTTTGGTGGACGAGTAGGGACGAGATAAAAGTAATTGCAAATGGGAAAGTTGGGAAGTACTTTAATGGTGGTTTAGTTGGGGTGGGGAAATGGGGGAGTAGGATGCATGTGGATAGGGTTGTGGTGACCTTGTTTCCATGATAAAGGTTTGGGCTAATTATGCATTAGTCTTGGCTTTTGACATTATTGTAAGTGTTGCGACGGTCATTTGTCTTGATGGAGCTTAATGGAAGTTTACATCTACAGTGAAAGGACTTTGATTCATGAGAAATTATCTTTGTGGGATGAATGTCAAAATGTACTCCTGGGAGAGAAATGGTCTCTTCTCATTGGAGACTTGATAGAATTAAATTTTTTTAAATTCATAATAGATTTCGAGATCCATCATTAATTATCATTGGTATAAACATTTTACGATATAAATATAAAAAAAACTAATCTCTTTTTATCTCTAACTAATATAAGAGTAAATTCAATCTCCTTAGAAGTTTTAATTAGGAAGTCAAATTAATATGTATCATTTATGAGATTCATTATTAATTATCATTATTATATATTTTACTCATAAAAAATAAAATTAATTATATAATTATTTTTTATAATTAATTACTTTTAATATTTTGATCTCTGTACTTTCAAAAGTTACATTAAAATTTTTATACTTATCAAACATTTAATCTCATTACTCTAATAAAAATTTTTCTCTCTTTATATAATTTTTAATTCTATATAAAAATCTTAATATTTTATTTTCATACGTATAGAAATCATAATATAATTTAAAAAATATATATAAAGATCGAAATACTATAGATAGTTAATTAAAGTAAATAATCTATAATTAACTAAAAAAATATGATAAGAGTGATATTTTCATTCTTCATATTATATATATATATAGTACACATCATTTGCCCATCATTAGTTGATAAGCATTTTACCCCATGAAAAATTATCCATTTTGTAAACCTTACATAGTTTTACTCTCTTTGAAACGAATCTAAAAAGACTACGAGAATAAACACTATCTCATCGATTTTGTTAACATGATTTTAAAAAATAATAGAGAAAAATAAATAGCAACTCCCTTCAGTTTTGGATGACAGGCCAAATCATCACTTTACTGTGACAATTGCAACAGCCTCAGGCAGGCAGGACCAGAATGAAAATATAGGAGGTGAGACCAGAGGCTTAAAAACAAGCAGATGCAGGAGGACAACAGTGAAAGGTGAGAGCAGAGGCTAGAAGAGCAGATGCATGCACCAAATCTGGAGTAAAACCCAGGAGGAAAGGGACAGGAGAAGAGACAGCAT